ACACACACACACACACACACACACACTCCAACACATACTTTCTCTCTCACACATCCTCTCTTCCATGCAATCTGTGCACATAACCGTAATAACTCAATAGTAGGCCTATGCTTGCCCTCACAAACAGGCTCACAGTCACATGCATAATGTAAATTATGAACAATGATTATAAACATTCATAGTGTTTAGCTAGATCCGTGCTCAGTATTGTGATTGTAACTCAGGGGTGTTCTGCCTGGCGCTAAAACTCTCAAATCATAATATGTGAGCCATCGTGGCGAAATCAGGGGCTTGTCAAAATAATGAAATCGAAGAAACCGGCACTTTTTCGCTGGTTTGGCAATTTTGATTAAATCTTCATTTTTTAGCTCAACCCCTTTCATGCCCTTTATAGAACACATTTCGGTGTGGATTTTATGGAAAAACATTGATTAAAGGTACAAAAAACATACATTTTCAGTTTCTAAGGACTCTCAAGCTTTGAAAGTCACCACTCTGTGGTTGCCATTTTCTCATTAATTTTACCTCTGAAACCCCCACCTCCTTCAATTGCAATTATCTCAGCTCTGTTCGAGATAGATAAATTCTTTTTTCACGCAAAAAAAGACAAATGAACAAGCTTTAAGTTGATACTAAGAACTTCACATGCCCAAAAATTGACGAGCGCCTGATTCCACTGTGTTGTGACACATATACTGACAAGATCTTTCGCTGTTTATGGTTGGGTACCCCTCCTCACCTGGGTGAAGTGATGAAAATTTGTTTAAAGTGCCTTTCCCAAAGGATACTCTTATGGGGCCTGAGGCAGGAACCCCAGTCTTTCTCAGTTATCACATCGTGGTGACTCAGCATAAACATTAGCAAGTGGGTGGTTGGCGGGTGTTCTGGTATGGTTTGCTCCTTCTGTCCAATCGCAAACATCTGTCGTCCTTATCTCTCCTCCTTTTTTTTTTGTATGTTACTCTCTTGTAACACATAATCTGTGCCTCGGCACTTATATGACCTAATTGCGTTGCAAATGCCGAAAAACTCTTACTGAAACTAACTTAGCAAGCTGTTCAAATGCTCTAGGTCTACGCCCAGACGGCTCATTTTTTTCAGGAGAGCTAAAAGAACATTTTTTTCCCTTTTTGACAATTGTGCAAACATTATGAATTTTTTCTTGCTTTTTTGTTGTTTTTTTCAACGTTTAGATTTTGAATTTTGAAAAGTGAGTGGTTGGCGGATGCTCTGGTCTGGTTTGCTTCTTCTTCCTATCAAACATCTGTGGTCCTTATCTCCCCTCCATCTTTTTTATGTTTGTTACTCTATTGTAACACCTCTAATCTTCTGGCACTCATATGACCTTATGCAGTTGCGAGCGCCGTAAAACCTCTAGTAAAACTAAACTTAGTTTGAAGGAGATGGTGTCAGAGCTCCGTAAAACCCCTACTAAAAATTTAAAAAAAAAAAATTTCTTGAGCACATGCAACATACTAATACCATAGATTAAGAAACGGCAATTATAGAGAAAAATTATTTAAAATTTGGCCTACTATAATGTTTGAGCAGCTGGCTGGTGATAAACTACTTTACTACCGCCTGTGGGTGGTTGGTGGGCACTCTGGTGTGGTTTGCTTCTTCTTTCCTATCAAACAACCATTGTCTTTATCTTCTCTCCTCCTTCTTTTTTCATGTTTGTTACTCTCTTGTAACACCCATTCTTCAGCACTTATATGACCTTATTGTGTTGCAAGTGAGTAAAACTCTTACTAAAACAAAACTACTGCCTCACAACAATTAGGTCACCAACTCTCGAAAGTAGGGCAGGGCAATGAGTCTCTTTAGCGAAATCCGGATGATTAGTAAGTTCACCTCTTCGGCAAATAATAATGATATGAATCTCTTCGGCAAATGGGTTAGAACGACTTCGACAAACGGGTTAGCACTACTTCAACACATAGGTGCCCCCAAACGGGTCAGGAAAGAGAGTTAAGAGTCTGAATTCGGATGATGTTTCTTTAAGAATTATCTGGTTATCCTATAGATTATCCGGATTTTGCCCACCTCTACTATAAAGCATGTGTGCCACTTTTTTTTTCTTCCAGTTGTAAGCTTTTGGGTAGATGGTAAACTTAATGCTTCAAAATTACTGATGAAAAAGTTAAACTGCCCAATGAAATTTGCTCTTTCTGTACGCACTCCTCATTGGACGCAGACATGTGTTGATGAATTATTTATCGATGCCTTGTGTGTTTTTTTCATGGGCTTTTGCCACAGGTGTTGGCGAGACTCTTGAGCTGCCTGTTGCCAACTTTGGGAAATATGGTAAGTGGGGCATGGTTACAGATTATAATTACGCTGTCATTCTTTCGTGGCTAGTGTCCAAAGCCACGTGTGAGGTGTGCTGACAAAACGAGTTACAACTGGAGATGTTGGCCAAAAATCGACACTAGGGGTCAAATTTGTAGATTTTTCTGTTGATGTCATATATTTATTCTTAAAGTACAACATGCCTTTTATTATTTCATACACTTATAAATTGTAAAAAAAGTTCACCTATACGCGTGATGTATCTATGTCTATAGGGCTCATATCCGAGAAGTAACTCATTTTGCCTGCACTCTTCACATATTTTTATGGTCTTTCCCCCCC